TGAGGGTATTTGAAGAAATTGGAAATACTTATCTGGAAAAAGAGAATATTCAAAGGGAATATGATAGCTGTCTTCAAATATTTGAAGGACTTCCATGTAGAAGAGGGATTATACAATGAGTTTTTTAATCCAATTAGTCCATGGATAGATTTAAAGAGGTCCATTATTTTTGAAAAATATTTTTATGACTATATTTCAATATACTTGGTTTCTTTTATAACCTTATATATTTTATTTTAGACAGTTAAAAACATTAGAAGAGGTTCATGGGCTTCACAAGATTGCCAGATGTGTCTATGTCACACACACACACACACGCACACATGTATACATGCATGCATATCCTCTGAATTAGAGTTTTGTTTTGTTTTGTTGTTGCTTGGCCTTAAAAAGTGAAATTAGAACACATAGGTAGAAGTCATATTTAGAGAGATTTCCGTTTTCTATAATCAAATGCTTCCTAACAACTAGAATTATTTTAAAGTGAAATGTACTACCATGTGAAATAATCAGTTCTCCATCATTAGAGAGGAAGTCTTTATGCAGAGACTGGATAATCCCTTGTCTCTAAAAATGTAAAGTGTTGGAAAAATGTGTTGGACTTGATGACTTTGGGCAAGCCATTTAACTTGCCGGAGGCTCATCTATAAAACAAGATGACATTATGGTGCTGAAGTAATTCCCAGCTCTAGATCTATGATCTATGCCTTTTGAGGTCCCTTCCAACTCAGAGGACTTGAGGACTCAGAATCACAGAGAAATTCTGTGATCCTGTATGTTACATGAAGTTCTACTAAATAAAATTGTGTTGTGAGTTTTCTATCCTCAATTGTGAACAAATATTTGAATTTGTTTTGGTCAAATATGAATTTGGTTTGTAGCTTCTTCACTACAGAATTTCGTGGGGTTTTGTTTCTGAACATTTCATGCAATCTGTAGGGAGAGTAAAAGTTTTTCTGGAAATCTTGACTACATTACTCTTAAATCTTATCAGAGTTGCAAAATTGAACTTGAAGTCAGGAAAATATTCATTTGAATCTCACTGTATCAATACCAGATCTCAAACTGTACTACAAAGAAGTAATCATCAAAATAATTTTGTATAGGGAGACTGGGGGGAGGGGGGACGACAGACAGACAGACAGAGACAGACAGAGAGACACAGAGAGACACAGAGAGACAGAAAGACAGAAAGACACAGACAGAGAGACAGAGATAGAGAGAGACAGAGAGAAGGGTTGATCAATGGTGTGGATTAAGAATACAGCGAACAAACATAGTTACCTGGTGTTGAACTCAAAGACTCCAGCTATTGGGGAAAGAAGTTATTATCTGACAATAACTGCTCAAAAACTGGATAGCAATATGGTTTAAATCAAGTTCAGATCAACACTTCACACCATATACCAAGAAAGGGCCAAAGGAGTACTTGACTTACATGTAAAAGTCACATCATAAACAAATTAGAGGAGCAAGGAGGAAAATACCTTTTGATTTATGAAGACAGTGACTAAACAAGTGATAGGATCATACAAGATGAAATGGGCAATTTTAATAATGTAAAATTTTCAAAGCATGCAAACAAATCTAATATGGTTCAAATTTGAAGGAAAATAATTGGAAAATAGTCTTTTCAGCAAGCTTCTCTGATAAAGATCTTATATCTAAGATACATAAGAAAGAGATTCAAATTTATAAGATGACAAATCATCCCCTAATAGATAAATAATCAAAGGAAAATAGATATTTGTTTTAGGCAATTGGGGTTAAGTGACTTGCCCAGGGTCACACAGTTAGTAAGTGTCAAGTGTTTGGTCTGAGGCCTCATTTGAACTCATGTCCTTCTGACTTCAGGGCTGGTGCTCTATCCACTGCACCACCTAGCTGCCCCGACAAATATTTTTCAAAGAGAGAAAGCCAAGTTATCAATAATCATACAAAATTCTTTAAATCACTAATAATTAGAGAAATGAAAATTAAACCAACTTTGTGATTCAGACTGACAATGATGACAAAAGGGGGAAATGAAAAATTTGGAGGGGTACACAAATACAACTGTGCTAAGTGCACTACTGATGGAACTATGAATTGGTTCAGCCAGTCTGGAGAGCAATTTGGAACTATGCCCAGAAAGTTACTAAAATACACATACTCTTAGACCCAGTTTTACCACTAGTAGGTCTATACCTCCAAAGAAATCAGAGAGGAAAAAGTGTATGTACAAAACTAGCTTTTTGTGGCAGCCCCAAATTGGAAACTAAGGGGGTGCCATTATTGGGAAATGGTTAAACAAATGACATTGAGCAATTCCAGGAATCTATTCAGACTTTCCAAGGTGACTACTTTGAAGTTCAGAGTCTGTTTAGATGCATACTTTCCTGGATTTATTTTAAAAAATCTGTCATGTTGCACCTTACATAAACTGTTCACTGATGCAAATATCTTAGAAGAGAAGGTATTGACCATGCTAACATAAAAGCACCTGGAATTCATGTAGAGTTTGTAAAATGTTGTGTCTGCAAAGATATTTTAAAAATATGAAATCCACAGCATGACTAATATGGAAATATGTTTTGCATGATTGCACATGTATAACCTATATCAAATTGCCTACTGTCTCAGGTTGGGGGGGAGTGGGGAAGGGAGGGAGAAAATTTGGAACTCAAAATTTTTTAAAAAATGTTAAAATTGTCCTTACATATAATTGGGAAAAATAAAATATTATTTTTAAAAATTTGAAATCTGCAGTACACCTTAGATATTTCTAATCTGTTTTCTCTCTTGCTAACTGGAAAATGCAAAATGCCCTATTATATGTTCATAACTATAGATCAGTCTTAAAGCTTATTTCAAATGTGATTAGTTCATCTGCATTTTGTAAAAATGTTTCCCATTTCTGATACCTTTAGGTCTTCAATTGAGACCAATAGGCTGGAGTCTAAGATACACATTTTCAGATGGGTCTTTTGTTGTCATTTAGGAGAGGGAATTTAGATACCTTTTTTTCTATAACAATGAAAACATTGCTTATCTTTTTTTTGGTATACATTTTAATAGTATTTTATTTTTATTTTTCCCAATTACTTGTCAAGTCAATTTTTAGTATTCATTTTTACAAGATTTTGAGTTCTTAATTTTGCTCTCTCCCTCACTTCCTCCCCTCTTCCAAGAATGGTAGGCAATTTGATATAGGTTATACATGTGCTATCATGTAAAACATATTTCCATGAAAGAAGAAACAGAACAAAAGGAAGAAAAATGAAAAAGAATAAAGTAAGTGAAATGAATATGCTTCGATCTGCATTCAGAGTCCATCAGTTCTTTATCTGGATGTGAGTCCTTGTCCTTGTCTTGGATCATTGTGTTGCTGAGAAGAGCTGAGTTATTCATAGTTGATCATCACACAATACTGCTGATACCATGTATAATGTTTTCTTGATTCTTCTCATTTCACTTTGCATCAATTAGTACAAGTCTTTCTAGGTTTTTCTGAAATCTGTTCATCATTTCATATTGTACAAAAGTATTCCATTACATCCATATACCACAGCTTGTTCAGCCATTCCCCAATTCATGCGCATTCTCTCAATTTCCAATATTTTGCCACTACATAAAGAGCTACTATAAATATTTTTCACATCTGGGTCCTTTTCCCTTTTTATGATCTCTTTGGGATACAAACCTAGTAGTGTTGTTGCTGGATCTCAAAGGGTATGCACAGTTTTGTTGCCCTTTGGGCATACTTCCAAATTGCTCTGCAAAATGGTTGGATCAGTTCACAATTCCACCAACAAAAATTGCTTATCTTAAAGAAACAGAATAAACATAATTGTAAGCATACCCTAAATGGTCTTCATAATGCTTACTAGATGTTAGAAGGGAATGGACATTGCCCTTCCCTACTGAAATGAAGCAATAAAGTGACTTCTCTTGAATTACAAACAAGGTAGATATAGCAAATGGAGTTTTGAGGTCTACTGATGTCAATCATGTCCTCTTATTGTTATTTAGCTATGTTGTCCTCTCAATAAATCAACCAGAGGAGGTTTTTTGTTTATTTGTTTTTGTTTTTGTTTTTATTAATCAAGACTCAGAATAAGTAGGCTCTTGGAATGAAGCACTAAGGGACACCATTGTATCTTGTGTCCTGGAGTGTAGTAGCTCTGAATATAACTTAAATTCCTCTGCTGAGAGCATTGAATAGAGGTAAACCTTCTCAGCCTTTTCTAGGGTTGAACAGCTATAGAGTAGACAACGAAAGAAAAACTTCATTTAAAGATATTAACCACCAGAAAGTGGGCAAATATAATATATAATACTTGTCCTGTGTCTGTTCAACATCTGCTAATGGCTATGGGCCAAAGCACCCTTTCAGGTGACATAGGCTCTTCCATCTGATCTGTGCCTTGGCTTATCTGAGAACAGCCAACATGTCAGCAAGACAGCAAATCAAACCCAGCTTTCGACACTTACTAGTTATGTAACTCTGGGTAAGACACTTTGCTTTACCTCAGACAAATTATCTAAGACTTAGCTATTACGGCACAGACAGTTGTGATGTTCCTGGGTTAGTGCAAAATGCGGCATTCGAATATCTGTCTAGTGGTTGCCCGTGAATGTTTGTTTCTCTTATTCTGCTCTAGTGCCAGCATCTAAAACAGGGTGTGTGTGTGTGTGTGTGTGTGTGCGTGCGTCTTTGCGACAGGGAGACAGACAGACATTGCTCTCTCCCAGCGCAATCAAGATGTTTATTTCAGTAGTCCTTCTATGTCTAATTCTACCTCTCCTTCCCACTCCTACTTTAAAAGTTCCCTCTTTTGCTCTGCTCTTCCCCTATTTAAACATTACAAGCTTAGTAGTGGAGCAAATTAGGTGCGGGTCCTCCAGCTCTCTCCGCCCCGAGGCTCTATTCCTGTCATACCCTGCTTAGTGAACAAGCTTGCTCTCTCTCAGAGCTTGCTGTAGTTTCTGAACAGAGCAGAGCTCTCACTCAGAGTAAAGGTCTTTCTACTCTTCGGGATACCATCGAGATCTTCTTTCTCCTTAGAGACGGGACTCAGCCCTAGGACTGATTGTCCACTCCCCTCGCTTTCTCTCCCTGGCCTCTCAAGGGCATAGGGTTCCTGAAAAGTGAGGGGAAGAGAGGACTGCACAGCCCCCAGGAAAAGGGAAGGGGGAGGAGGCTGAATGAATAACAGGAGCGTGGTTGGAGGGAAGGTGGAGGCTGCAAGGGGAATGCAGGTTGAGAGTGAGGGGTGGGAATGTTTGTGTGACTGTAAGCTCTGCCCTGAATAGCAAAGGGTCCGCAGGGCGCCCCGAAGGAAGGCAGGTCCGGGATTGGGGTACAAGGCACTCTTACCTCCTCTCTTCCTGCCGAGGGAACTTGCCCAGCCCTTTTCCCCAGCCTGGGACCCCGGGAACTGACAGCTTTTTCTCCCGCACCTGTTTCCCTCCTGCTCTCTTCTGAGCTCTCTCTCCCTTCCCTTCGGGGCTTCCCATCTAGTTTGGTGTACTTTCTCTACAGCGGCTGGACCAGCCTGGGTGGCAGAAATCACTTGGCACGGTAGCTCGGGGGAGCCGCCCTCCTCTCCATATGAAAAGAGGCTTGGCTCCTGCTGCGCCCGGCTGCTGAGGAGGCAGTGCAGAAAGAGAGAAGCCAGGGCCAAGGGAGTGACTCCGGACTCAACTCTGGGAATTTCCTCCCACTGGCCCTGGGCACTAGACTGGACGGGACGAACTGGACGGGACTGCGTCTTCCGGGATATTCCGGGTCCCCTGAAGCTTGGCTCCTTTCCATCTGACTGCAGCCAAGAGGATAAGAGGGGAGAAGAACAAGCGGGCTCGGTAAGCTTCGTCTGACTTTCCTGCGGAGACAATGGGGATCCGAAGGGACCCTGGCCAGATTTCGGAGGAGAGGGGAGTGGAAGCTTCTTTTCAGGGTTATTTGTTTGGGTTCAGGTAGCTCCCTTATGAATCAATGTTATATCCTCATTTTCCCTACCCCATGTCTCAAAACTTCCTTCCTCTTGTCTCATAGACCTCTTGCATCCCTCTTCCCAATTGCAAGTTGAGAGGGAGCCTTCACCACACAGTCACAAGTTGTTTGGGCTTTATACCTATTACTCAAAAGCACGGCAAGAGGGTCATCGAGGTAGGGGATGTTGCATTGATTTTCCCAAGCAAGTGAGGGCTCGTTACAGTAGTGCATCTCTTCATTGTCCTCTCAGAGTGTCCACCCAGTGGCTACAAGCGTGGAGGCAGATGTGGAAGAAGGAAAAGTAGTCAGAAGCTGGAAGCTTCGAAGCCTTTCACAAGGGAGACCTCAGTTTTTTTTCTATGTTATTTTCGTAGAAAAGATTAGGGAATAATGTTAAGAACAATAATAATGTATTCTTCCTATGTTTTCAATGATTTATCACAAGCCTTACTTTACAGTTTTCAAAGTGCTTTAACCTAATTTGGATGGAAGGACATAAACTTAACCCCACAGAATAGGAACATTACTGGAATATTAGTTGCATGTTTTTCCCTCTCTGCCACTATCCCCAAACAAGCATCTGCCTGATTTCCTCCCCCAGCCCCTCTGTAGCTCTGTTTCCCAAATGGCAGGAGGGGAGGAGGACAGCAGATCATTTAGCATGAATTCTAGGAATGTCTCTGAGATAATTACCTGGAAAGTATTAGTAATAGGAAGGAAAAATTGTGGAAATATGCAACTTAACAAATGCTCATCTTGGACAGCATTAGACCATTGCAGAAATTTCTGCAAATACGAATAGATCTTTTTATTCATGTTGTGTTTAGACCTAATAATTTATTCTTCCTTTCCATCAGCTAATTTAAAGGTTTTTCTGTTTGTTTGTTCACTTGTTTGTTTAGTGGCACCCACAGTGTATAGAACACTTTAGAATCAGGAAGAACTGAGTTCAAATTCTATCTCAGATACTTAATAGTTGCATGGCTGTGGGCAAGTCACTTAAACCTCTCTGTACCTCAGTTCCCTCATTTATAACATGAGGGAGCCAGACTGAAAGGCCTCTGAGTGCTTCTATTCCTAAATTTATGACATTATGATACCATGAAGTATAGTAGAAAGAGCAGTGGATTTGGAGTCTCATGAGCTGGGTTCAAACCCCTCTATTGCCACTTACTACCTATCTGTCTTTGAACAAGTCCCTTACCTTCTTTGGGACTCAACTGCATGAGGGACTGGATTAGTTCCTTCCAACTCTGAATTCCTAGAAAACCAGGTAATTGGAGAAACCCACCTTGCTTTTTTCTTAAGGCAAGTCTTCTTAATCTGGGTTCTATGACTTTTTTTTTAATATCTTGATAACTGTATTTCAATATAATTGAAATTCCCTTTGTAATGCTATGCAATTTATTTTATGCACTTAACAACATTATTCTGAGAAGAGGTCCATAGGCTATGTCAAGGGTCATAACGGTCCAAGATACACAAAAAGGTTCAGAACTCCTTTCTTAAAGCATAAGTTATTCCAGAGTGATTGCTTATTCATTCCTCCTTCTCCCAAGGTATCTCAAATAATGTGGAAATGTGTTTCTTTCCCTTGTCCAAGCAAAAGTTTATAAATTGTTTGGTATTTCTTTAGTTTTATTTTATAAATTATAATACTTCTCCAGATACCAAGTGACAACTCCCTCTTTCTTTGTACCTATCTTTTCTCACATCTACTTCCTTAGAAGTGCAACCTGGGGATGACACCTCCTTTGGAAAAGCAGTGCACTCGCAGGAGACCAGTAGAGTTCTGAAACAAAAAGACAACAACTGGAAAATGGTATATGTGCTTAGAGCTTAGCTACGTACGTATAAACTTTAAAGTGTAACTATTTTTTAATAACTGAATCAAGAAGTCAGAAAAGAATGAATTAAGGAGAAAAAGCAGAAAAAAAGAAAAGAAAAGAATTCTGCTCATATCTACCAATCTGTAGTTAATTTGAGGAATCAAGCAATGGATTTCTGTAAATTCTGGTAAAATTTTTAAGAATTTAACTTTTTAAACTTTAAAATTTTTAAACTTTAAAAATATTCTTAATTGGTTTCTTTCAAGTCTTCTTTCAGGTAAAGTTGAAGGCTCTTAAACAGTTTAAGGGAAATACTACTTAAGGCAAGAATTGTTAGCTTCAGTGTTTTCTGATGATAACAGAGAAAGGAAGAAGACATGAAATAGGGTCTAAAGTTTTTTGGCTCTTAGTTTTTCTGAGCTAAGTGTATAGGGAGACTGGTCTTGGAGTCAGGAGGGCTTGAGTTCAAATTCTGCCTCTGACACCTACTAGCAGTGTGACCCTGGGGCAAGTCACTTAAACTCTCAGTGACCCAAGCAACTCTAAGTTTCAGACAAGGTACTCATCTGCATTATTCCTCAGCAGGGGCTTCTTATGCCAAAGAAAACCCTGGCGCAGTAAACAGAGGGCAGCAATGTGAGTGGTCAATAGCGGACTGGCTTTAGAGTCAGAAATCTTGGCTTCAAGTTCACCTTCTGGCACGTGTTCTCCATGTGATCATTAGCAAGTGATTTAGCCTCTCCATAAGTGCCCTGGAAAACCCTCTAACAGTTGTTACTCTGGATTTGATTAAAGAATTGATAAAATCATAGGCCTAGGGCTCTAGGCCATCCCTCATTAGTCTTTCCCCAAAGTAAAACATAAATATTACATTTTCACAAAACCCATATTGACTTAAATAAAGAAAAGTTTCTTTTTTTTAATATTTGTTAGAAACCTGAATTGATTTGAGTAGAATTCCAGGACTGATGTGTTTTCTTGGTAGTGCTAGTGACAAAAAAGTTGGTCAACATGACATTTAGCTGTTCCTAGGCTAAAAGATTGTAGGGTTTTGTGGGGGGTTGGGAGGGTGGGATGAAAAAGGATTTAGAAATCATGTAGTCTAGACTTCTCATTTTGCAGGTAGTGGAACTAGGACCCAAAGAGATAAAGTGACTTATTCTGACATGAAGTAAATGGAAGTCAGGTCTTCTGATTTCAAATCCAGTATTCTTTCCCCAATATTCCATTGCCTCTCTATAGAAATGCTATTTAGTCACTTCTCAATTACCTGCTCCAATGGAAAAGAGAATATTTATGAATAATACTTACATTATTTATATTAATTTTGGATTATTATTACCAAGCTTTTCTCTTGAGACCTTTGGCAAGTTATTACATGTTTCTTAGTAGGACTAGGTACCTTAAATCTAGATTGTGTCTCAATGGATTGGCTTTTCCAAATTATATTTTTCTTTAGGCTGGTACTGAGAGTGATAAGTATACCTTGAGCCCACATGACCTGGAAGTCTGTTGGATGGAATCAGATATAACATAGAAAATTTAGTACAATTAATAAAAAAGTAATTGGAAGTTGGCTGCACCTATGTTTACTTCTCCCCTCCCTTCCCCCAGGATAAAACTATTAAATAGCTAAGAAACACACTTTTTAGTTTTGAAGTGTTGTTCCTGAATCCAGAAAACAAAACACTGGAGATAAGGTGTTACTAATTCATGGTTTCTTCTAGAGTTAGAGACTAGAATCACAAAGCCTTATTATTGAAAGAATTTATCTTACGGCTATATAAACTATATTAGGGACATTACATCCCATTCTAATATATCTTGATTGTGTAAAAAACCCCACATTTCAAATATTCTCTTTGGAAGCATTTTCATTGCACATAGTTGATTGGAGCACACAGAAAACTAGCATATTAATCAAATCCTTACAACAAAGAATTATCTCCTAATAGGATCCTATTTCATGCATATTTCATGTCATGGGGAATTTGCATTTTGGTTCTGATGATCTGACCACAAGTGCAAAATTGTCTCTAGGCTAAGTGATTTCTCTTTGTTTTATCTTAGCTAATTTTCTGTTTGAATGATTCTTGTGCCAGTTCTAGGCCCAGGGCAGCTGTGCAGAATGAACGTGGGGCCAACGGAAGCACAGACTGAAGAGAATCAGACAACGCAGGAAACAGAAGTTGAATGTTATGGGACAGCACAAACTACCCCAAGAGGTCAGCTAGCTGCTGACCCTAAACTAGGGCTTGCTGATAGCACCAAGTTGATTGAAGTTCAGGTCGTCCTCATCCTGGCCTATTGCACCATCATCTTGCTGGGAGTAATTGGCAATTCCTTAGTGATCCATGTGGTGATCAAATTCAAGAGTATGCGTACTGTCACCAACTTCTTTATTGCTAATCTTGCTGTGGCAGATCTTCTAGTGAACACCCTTTGCCTCCCCTTCACCCTTACTTATACCTTGATGGGAGAATGGAAAATGGGCCCTGTCCTGTGCCACCTGGTGCCCTATGCCCAGGGCTTAGCAGTGCAAGTGTCCACAATCACCCTAACTGTGATTGCCCTGGATCGACACCGTTGCATTGTTTACCATCTGGAGAGCAAGATTTCTAAGAAGATCAGTTTCCTGATCATTGGCCTGGCCTGGGGAATCAGTGCCTTGCTGGCTAGTCCCCTGGCTATTTTCCGGGAGTATTCTCTGATTGAGATCATACCTGACTTTGAGATCATGGTCTGTACTGAGAAGTGGCCGGGTGAGGAAAAGAGCATGTATGGTACAATTTATAGTCTTTCTTCCTTGCTGATCCTGTATGTTTTGCCACTGGGTATCATATCATTTGCTTATATACAGATCTGGAGTAAGCTGAAGAATCACATTAGCCCCGGGGTGGCCAATGGCCACTACCATCAGCGTCGGCATAAAACTACCAAGATGTTAGTGTGTGTGGTAGTGGTGTTTGCGGTTAGCTGGCTGCCTTTCCACGCCTTCCAGCTTGCCATTGACATTGATAACCAGGTCTTGGACCTGAAGGAGTATAAGCTCATTTTCACAATATTTCATATCATTGCCATGTGTTCTACCTTTGCCAACCCCTTTCTTTATGGCTGGATGAATAGCAACTATAGAAAAGCCTTCCTCTCTGCCTTTCATTGTGAGCAGAGGGTGGACTCCATTCACTCAGAAGTGTCAGTGACATTCAAAGCCAAGAAGGACCTTGAGGTAAAGAAGAACACCTGTCCCAATGACTCTTTTACCGAGGCTACCAATGTCTAAGAAGCATGGTTTCTAAAAAGTTGGGGAATGAATTCCAGTTAGAGTCATCAAGCAGTTTTTAAAGAGGTCGTTAGGTGCATCCTCTTTCAACCCATTCTAAGAAGAAAAGCAGCAGTTGATTCAAAACTTCTGCTGGTGATGCCTTGGAGAGCTGATTGTCAATATCCATGTGCAATTGTGTAAACCAAGTCATACCAAAAGGGGACTTTGTTTTCAGTGGATTGTGGGCTAAATTATGAGCATAAACAGAAATGTTACACGTCGTTTCTTTCCAAGAAGGTGGAAGAAAAATTTCGCATATAAAGTATGAATGCAGTAAGAGATTGCATGTTCAACATTTCAATGAGGACAGAAGATAAATAAATTTACCTGACAGCTCCCAACATCATAGGGCTATGACTAGAGATGTCCATGTGACTCACAACATGTACCTCTTCACACAAATTACTCTGCAAACACAGTTTTCTCCAGAGAACAGCATGATGTTCTTGGATGTGTTTTTTAATTTCTTTCTCATCTCCCAAAAACTGCTACGATGGGGATCCTCTCAGTCTGCTGAACATTATTGTTTAGAAGACTTTAGGAAATAAAAAGAAGCCTTCAGTATTATCAATCATTTGACATTTGGAGGGGGAAAATACCTCAGGACTCAACGAGAAAATATTTCTTGAAACAAAGTTCAGATCTGGCCAGCATTTCTTGAAATAAGAGGGTCCAAGACTGAACTTTCCAGCAAAATATAGGAATGTAAACTCCCATTAACTTTCCGGTTTAGAGTAATTTCTGCTTTTCATCTAGATAATGCAGATAGATAAAACAAGATATGATTTGATCATTTTGAAACACTGTTAATTGTTATATCTTTTTAAACATTTATGGTTTGTTTCACTTATGCTGGGTTGGGCCTGGGCTCACCATTCTCATATATACACTTAAGCTTGTAAATGAAGTCTGGTAGAAATATGATAAAACTAAACGTTCATTCAGCTACCTGTGGTAACCATCAGTACTTCTTATAGCCATCAGTAAGTTGCTGTAGCTCAAGTATAAAACACAATTTACTGACTGCATCTTATGCTGTGATTTTCTTCCATATCTGCTCCTCTGCCTTGGCCCCTGCCTTTCCTTTATGGGTTCATTCAAAATAAAGAAAGCAACACAATTACTTCAAAGTGGAACATATTCAGCAAAAAGCAGTTGGATTCTTTCTATTTCGTATATGTTCTCTTTGGATCAATTTCACTGTAATTATTCAGTTTTTTTTCCTTTCTTAACAATAATGTTTTTGAAAATGTAGAAATAGGGGCAGCTAGGTGGCACAGTGGATAGAGCACTGGCCCTGGAGTCAGGAGAACCTGAGTTCAAATCTGGCCTCAGACACATAACACTTACTAGCTGTGTGACCCTGGGCAAGTCACTTAACTCCAATTGCCTCACCAAAAAAAATGTACAAATAGATACATAATATACTTATTTTATGTATTATTATATAGTGGGGCTTCAACGTAATCTTATGCCTTTGTTTTAAAAAAAAATCATGAATGTAATGTTCACTTATTCGTAAAGATATTCGTTACCCTGCTTCTTTTCCAATAAGGATTGACATGTCTTCAGATTTCAAGATAGGTTTGTGAGTATGCTTCCAGTCAATGTGAGTCCTTGTGAGGATTACAGCAGGCATTCACTTCAGCCAAAAGAAGATCTTCATGTTTTATAATTCAAAAAGGGCTGAGGGTTGGAAATATGCTTTCCACTGGGGAATCCCTAAGGTGTTTGTTAATGCTTTAGGGAAAGGTAATTGTCAAAGAGTCTGATTGGGGTCTGTGGGTTCCTTTGCCAGAAGGCAGGCTCCTGAAATGATGAGAAAGCTATAGGAGTTTTCCTCCTTCTCCCCATTGCAAGGTTCTTTGGAAGGGCTATTTTCCCCACTTCAAAAAGGGGTATTTTTGATCCTCATGAAAATGACCTAAATATATTTAAATATACTTAGTCTTTTGGACCTTGTTATAAAGAAGTTTCATTACCATCATATTGTGTGTGGTGAATTATAAGTGCCATCTGTAGATAGCTGCCACATTAAAAAAAAAAGCAACTAATTGAATATTGCTAATGTTTTCTTTCATTGCAAATGTGACCGTTACTAATTGGAGAAATCTATTTTGTTAACATGGGTGGAAAGTTAATCAGTGGAAAGTGGGATGGATTCAAAGTCAGGATAACAGCTATCTTTTTATACCTGGGTAACTTTGGGAAAGTCATTTAACTTTTCAGAGGTTTCAGAGGTAAAATAAGAGTATAGAACTCAATGAGCTCTAAGTTTCCTTCCAGGTATGAATCCTATGACTTATGATCCATTATTTAAATATTTTGGGAGAGGGCATTAGAAATAAAACATTGCTTCTGAGACAGACCAAAATTCTTTGAAGTAATGAAAGAAGAAAAGTACAAGAAGAAGTGAGATTAGAAAGAAGGTGAAATGGTGGATAGTTAAGGAATAATGTATATTGCTACAGTATTATATAATTAAATAATTTATGTGGTGTACTGAATTTTTCTGACCACATCAATTTTGTCTTTGAAATAGTGTGTCCATTTGTTAGAATGTTACTTAGGTCAATTGTAGGTTAAACATAATGCATAAATAATATATAACAATTCTTCCCTAGGGGAGCAATTTTTAGAGGGGATATGCATACATTTTCCTAACATCTGTGATGTGGTAGTAAAATCACAGTCTGTGTACATAATTTTTATCCACTTGATATTGGATTCTTTTGAAAAAAATTGTTGAATTGAAAAATGTATTAATAAAGTGTTTCTTTTTGTGTAATGGTGTTATTTATAAAAACAAGAATTCTGAAAGTAAGAGGATGGGGTTGATCTTACACATATTGGGATTTCTACACTTACTAAAAGCCCAGAAAAGGAAGGCTAGAAGGTAAATAAGTTAACCAAGAAAATACATGTGTATTAAGTCCTACATCAAGAACACTATACCAGGTGCTAGAAGCAATACAAAGTTTGAAATAAGACTCAATCCCTGTCCTTAATGAGTTTCCATGCCAGTAAAGAGATAGATTTTGAGTGATGTAAAGGTAAACAGCAAATGGTCTCTTGTTAAGGGTGGGGGAATGGGGAAAATGTCACTTCTCTAAACAAGGGGAGAAGATGAATGAATAATATTTTAGTTTCTTGCAATACAGTCAAGGCAGAGAGTTTAGTGAAGAGCAAGACTTTAACCATTAGAAGGTCTTGGATTGTCCAAAAATGTCTTTGCAAGTACCAAGGACAGAATCTTATTGTATATAACAGTAGAGATGCCTTTCAAATAGCCTCCTTTGGGTATTACATATATAGTGAGACACATGAATATGATGACCCTTATGATGGTGGGAGAAACCATCTCTTCCCTATTTCAGATGAATGTGTTTGAGGAACTTCTTAAAAATGTCCCCATCCAAGTTAGTGTTGAAATCTTTACATCTAAACCCATTCCTGTGCAAAGAGGTTTAAAAAAAAAAGGATAAGAGTGAGGCTAGAGGTTGGGTACAAGAGGAATAGGAAAGGAAGAAAACTTACTGACTAGACAAAAAGCTAGCCAAAGGATTTGGGATCCAAAGAGGGATGGTGGGAGCTATGTTTAATGGCAAAAGATACCTAAATTTTCTATTGCAGTGTAAGGTTTCCAAAGTGCATAGGTGTTGTCATTTTTCTGATTTTGCAGATGAAGAAACTGAATTACAGAGAGATTAAGTGACTTGCACCCAGTCATGCAGATAATAAGCATCAAAGGTGAGATATGAACTGACTCCAAATGCTTGTTCCATCACACCACGCTGCCAAAAATTGGTAGAGGTCAGTAAATGTAAGGTGTGGTAAGTGAAAGTGGAAAATTAAAACAATGCCCACAAGAAATCAATGTAAAAAGAAACTCAGTCTTTTAAATGTAGCAGAAACACAAGCAGATCAAGAAGAAAAGAAACCCGGTAATGTGTGAAAGTAAAAGAGCAAAAATTTAAATTTTACACCCTCTATACAAATATTTGTAATTATGTATATATCCATATACATAAACAAAAATGAGGACAAAGACAGAGACAGAGAGAGAGAGAGAGAGAGAGAGAGAGAGAGAGAGAGAGAGAGAGAGAGAGAGAGAGATTTGAACTTGGAATTGGAAGAAGAAATACAGTAATATAGAAGGCAGCAAAACATATTGGAGAATGCAAATGCCCAATTTGTGTTCTATAAGCCACAATGTCCCTATTTGTAAAAGAGATTAAATTAGATGATCTTTATTTCTTTTCTACCTTTATGATTCAATGCCAGGATCTGTCACAGAGGATTAGCAAACTTTCAATTAAATACATGATATAACAAGAATAATACCTTACTAAGTACTTATTTTTCAAAGCACTTATAGGATTCCTACAACGATTCTTCAAGGTAGGTAGAATAAGCATTATTATATCTAACTGATGGATGAAGAAACAGGTTTAAAAATAGAGAATTCTCAATGTCATGTAGCAAATGGCACAACTGAAACTTGGGACCAAATCTTTTGGTGCTAATTCATTTAATCAATCAGTCAGGCAACAAACATTTATTAATCATCTTCTATGTGCCAAGAACTGTGCTAAGTACTGGGGATGCAAAAAGAGACAAAGACACTCCTTGACCTCAAGAAGCTTACAATCTAATGAAGGAAATATCATATAAATAAATAAATATATATATATGTATATATGTGTGTATATATGTATGCATGTATATGTGTGTGTGTGTGTGTGTGTGTGTATCATTGGGAAAGGCTTTCAGTAAAAGACGAGATTTTAGTTGGAGCTTAAAGGAAGCCAGGGAGGTCAATAGTCAGACCAGGACAGGGAGAACATTCCAGGCATGAGGACAGTCAGAAAGAAATGCCCAGTGTTGAGAGATGGAGTGCCTTGTTTAAGGAATAGACAGGAGGTTCCTGTTACTAAACCAGAGTGTATGTAATGAGAAGTAAGGTGTAAGAAGACTGGGAAGGCAGGAAGTGGCTAAGTTATGAAGGATTTTGTATGCCAAATGGAGGATTTTGTATCTTATTCTGGAGGTGATAGGGAGTCATTGAAGTTTGTTAAGTAGCAGGCTGACATGGTTGGACCTTCACTTTAGGGAAATCACATTAATGGCTGAATGGAGGATAGATTGGAATGGGGAGAGACTTGAGGCAGGCAGACCCAGCACTATAGGCTATTACCATTGTTAAGGCATGAGGGGTGAGGGCCTACACTAGAGTGGTGGCAATGTTAGAGGAGAAAAGAGGGCTTATACAAGAGATGTTGCAAAAGTGAAATCTGCAGCCATTGATAATATTTTAGATAATGGAGGAGGGTAAGAAATATGAAGAGTCCATTATGACACCTAGGTTTTGAGTCTAAGGGACTGGGGCAGTGGGGTTGTCCTCTACAGTAATAAAAAGGGGAAGAGGGTTTGAGGAAAAGATGAGTTCCATTTTGGTCTTATTGAGTTTAAGATATTTACAAGCCACCCAGTTTGAGATGTCTGAAAGGAAGTTGGAGTTGGAATATGGGAGATCAGCTGAAAATTTGGGGCAGGATAGTTCGGTAGATATGAGAATTATCAGCATAGATATGGTAGTTACATCTATGGGAGCTGATGAGATCACAAGTGAAGTAGTATAGAATGAGAGAAGAGGGTCTAAACATAACCTTGAGGGACATCTACAATTAGAGGTGCGATCTGGAAGAGAAGACAAGGAAGGAACAGTCAGGTAGGTTGGAGGAAAACCAGGAGAGAGCAAAAACCTATACATAGAGAGAGTATCAAGAAAGAGGGTGTGATCAACAATATCAAAGAGACGTCAAAGAGAGTGAGGATTGTGAAAAGGCCATTGGATTTAGCAACTAAGAAATCATTAGTAACTTTGGAGAGAGCAGTTTTGATGGAATGATGAAGTTGGAAGCCAGAATATAGAAAGTTGAGAAGAAAGTGGGAGGAGAGAGAAAGTGAAGGCAACTATTGTAAAGGGCCTTTTCAAGCAGTTTAGTGACAAAGGGCAGAAGAAATACAGGATGATAATTATTGGGGACGGAAGGATTACAGAGTCTGAATTCCACTAGGAGTTACCTTTCCCCCCCTCCCCGTCCCTGACACTTAATAGCCTTGGGTTTCTCTTTAAAATGGGGATGATAATACTTGAAATAATTATCTCACCAGGTTATTGTGCGGAAAGCACTTTGTCAACCTCCAGACATTATATAGATGCAACTTTTTGAGAACTCGCGGCGACACCTGTTTCTTATTCTCTAGCAACAGAGG